ATCCTGTGTTTCCCTGCGTTCCGGCGTTTCGCGCCAGGACCATCACAAAAAGTTCTAGGTGTCATGTGAACGATAAATAGAAACCCGGCGAAGGAAAACCCATTCTTTGCTTGTCTGCTGCCTCGCATACAGTGTTTGTTCGTTTTTGAGCCCGGGAAGCACGTCTGGTGGTCTCACATACACTGCCTCTACACGGCCTAGCGCTCCCCTTCCTCTTGCACTGACTAGAGCAGCAGTGGCGCATTTATTGATTTTATTATGTGATCTTTGCACCGAATTTTGATCTATTGTACGCTTCTTGTATACCCTGATCGATTTTCTATGAAGACATGAAAGTCGCTATCGCTTGAAGTTTCGCGTTTCGATTTCCGATTTTCGGTCTGTCCAACGAAATGAAGTATCGTCATTGTAGATTACTTTCTATGCCGCACGGTGACGAACGCTGAATAGGTCGATGTCCGATGCGGCAGGTGACGGTATGGCTGTTCGCGTTCTCAGCCATACGAACGGCGACGGCCGAATGCGCCGATCGGCACATATTTTCGGACCGACCAAGTACAGGTGAGAGTCAGAGAAACAGAGCTACGATAAGTTGTCTGCGTCACTGATGTGAGCATGAGTTGACATCGTTTTTACCGCAATACCTTTATGGTTGAACATCCTTCATTATGGGTAGATGTCTTTGCGTGTTTATGATCAGTGGGCGAGAATCAGAGAAGCAGAGTTTAACAACCATCTGCTTCTCTGCCATTGAACTATTTACTCATTGAAAAAGCTGTTATATGTTTTAGTTCTTATATCCCGATGCCACCATGGATGTAATACTGGGCGAGCTTTTCTTAGATTATCCGGAAAAATTTCTGACACCCAAAAAAACACAGTCAGAGTCCCACCCCTACCTGCGAGAGTCAGAGAAGCAAAGCTGATTCTCTACGTCTCTGTCTAGTAAAGAATACAGCCCATTTCATCAAGCCGTGCTATTGCACTCTATATGTTTCCCCTTAAGATCCAAAAAAAGTGTTTTTCAGAAGTGCATTTATGTAGCTAAAATACAAAAGTGAGAGTCAGAGAAGCAGGTTTTTTCCTTTGTCTGCATCTCTAGCTCGCTGAAGTGAAATACTTATGTGTAGAGCGATTTTTCCTGATATCCGATTCATTGTTATTAATAGTTCTGCCTTACAGGGCCTGATTGCAAGAATAGCTTTTCAAGCACTTCCAAATTTTTTTCAATCAATTATCGATCGTTTCCCATCTAGGAACACTCGAATCGCCGGCGTTTCCAACACCGTATCGATCGGATCTCTCGTGCCTCTATAACATATCAACCGTGCCCTCCAACGTTATACACCTCACATTTCTGTCATTTGATCTAGCCGAAAATAACAGGTCTGCCTATTGATCGCTATCGATTGAGCGACCAATGTGAATCTTATTGATTTCTGTTCAGGAACAGTGGACAGTGCCTCGAAGCGTATGTGCTGGTGATCGTCGTTGATCGTCTAGGTAAATCTTCTTTCAAAGACAATTTATAAAAAATGTACGCAATGAGGAACACAGTTTCACTCATTACGGATGCTGTGGGGTGTTAGAGGGGGGGGGGCAGGGGTTGGCTTGGTCTGATGCGGCGCCGGGTCGTTCTCCACCAATCATGGAAGCAGGCGTGCGAGAACATGGTAGAAACCCGGCCTTCCTGACACGCTTTGTCATTATTTCGAACTACTTCCTGGCTACAGGTTTTCGAACTTAAAGGCACATTCCGCGATCACCTGGTAGGTCGAACCCCTTCCTGGTATACGATCATAAGGTCCGAAGCTTCATCTATTGTATCACCTCGCCATTTGAAAACAAGTAGTAAGAATGCCAGCGGGCTGTGTGGCCCGAATCTGACCACACCTTCTCCAGTATGGCACCACCCTTGTCAAACCGAGCATTATTTAGTAGGTTTTCGATGAATTCTGTTTTTTTTTCTTTACTGGCAAATCAATCGGCACATAATAGTTCACGGGGGGAGATCTATGTTCATATTTGAACGCCACTGCTCACGACTTGTAATCGCGGAATGTGTCTTTAAGTTCACACCGGAGACTCAGCAATTCAAAAATAAGCGTTTATTTCGTCCCTCCCACGGTTACGTATACTTACCCGATTCATGCGCAACGCCCTAGAGTTTGGGGCAGTGGCAGGACTTGAGTTGCACTTCTAGATCGCCGGAGAGCGCGCGCTTGAAAAATTGCTGTTTTTTTTCATCACTCCGGAGGCTTGAGCTCTTACAACTTAATTGGTTACCCAGGCGATGTCTAGAAAAGGTCGAAGACAAGAGTCTTGCATGTACAGAGATCAGGGCGCAGTTCGGCTCGGTGGGGACACCGAATGGCACTCAGCTAACTTGTGTAGGCCACCTTGTGGACACCTGTGAACTCATGTAACCAAAGTGGTTCACCAGCACCGAATGGCACTCAGCTATAGGAGTTTACAGGTCTCATCAAAGTTAGACCTGTTAGTTTACATGAATCAACAAAAGGAATTAGCGGAAGTGCAAAATGCCCCCCCCCCAACTCGAACAGTGCGAGAGATTAAATTGACATCGGAGACCTCATCTAGATGTCAAAATGCCCACTATTCAGATCCTTTCTACATCCTACCGTTTACACCCACGAAAAAAGGACACAGCAATATACTTCTCTTGTGAAATGTGACCCAGGCCATACGAAAGACGAGAGAGTGAGCCCTGATCAACGTGCCGTCAATTCCCGATGGGCAATTCCCCCATTTCAGAATGAGTTGTGTGTTGAGCATACCCAAGTTAAACGAGCCATCGCTCATCCAGTGGAATGTACTGTAGGGAAATGAGGTTCTTGACAGCTTTCGCAGCCTTCACTTCCAAGCATTTGCCATCCCAGGGGACAGCCTCGCCCTCGGGTCATCCGTTAAAGTGATACGCTCGTCAAAACCCCTCTACAGGTCCCCAGTGGCCGCGGCGAATGCCAGGCCGCGCCTCATTCCAACGCTATCTTTACACCCATTCTCGTTTGCTCGCGCCTCGAAACTCACGCTTTCCTGAAACTAGTGACTTTATTACAATACCTCTTATTGAATAATGGACGCGGTTCGGCTTGGTGGGTGCACTTGATAGTTCTCAGCTAGGTTGTAAAGGCTACCTTGTCAAGACCTGTAAACTGCTGTGGAATTAAGGAAAGGAACTAGCGAAAGTGCACAATGCCCCCTCCAAGCCGATCAGCACTGAATATTGTAACCTGTTTTTCCTGTTCTTGTTCCTTGATTCTCGCTCTCTTTCAGTAGGTAAAAGTTCTCAGTGCAATATTGGAGTAGGGTTCCCTGGCTTTGGATCACTGGGATCTCAAACCCTTCTAGACTGCGTTCATACTTTGCGGCAGCAGGGCACATCGTTGTTGGGGAATCCCCAATAGGGGGTCGTATTTGGTCGCCAGGAGGGGGGTCGTATTTGGGCTGAGAAAAATTTATTTTGATAGTTGATTTTTCTCGCTTCATGGACGTTGTAAAGGGAGGGGGGGGTCGTATTTACGTTTTGGCGTTGTGGGAGTGGCGGTTGACTTTTAGTGATTTTCCTGTTTCACGTTATCCTATAGTGGCCCCTCCCTCCTCGCCGCTCCTGGTAGAGTACGGGGGATAGGAAGGTACCAGCTGTCTGCCTGTAGAGAGTCCGCTCGTTTATATACCTTGAGATGCGGTGGGCGTGGCTACGTACTTTGAACGCGGCAACGGCTGCGCTTGTGGAAGGATTTTTTGGAAATATCCCACGATCACTCCACCCTACTCCGGGCATAAATGAGGTACGCGGCCATGCCTACCGCTTCTCATGGTGCTCCAACTCCCGCCATCTTCATTTTAAATCAAGATTTGAAGAAGAACCTAAATTCTAATTTCCTGAGAAGCTTGGGCTCTGTTTTGGGTTACATCTTGCTACAGCTTTTCGGCTTCCGATTTCCGTTTTTCGTGCATTACACACGGGCACATTGATCACTGTTGATTGCAGGTAAGGAACATATCGGCAGTCGTCTATGTGGCAACAGTCTGCCACCAAAGATCGTGACGATGCAGCCGACCATCTACGTGCAGTTCGTCACCACTGCACCAGGACGTCAACATCGTGGGTTTCGCCTGCGCTATGATATCATCTATGAGGGTGAGTTCAGCTGGTCATTTATAGCTTCACAGAGTCACGTTCAGGAGATCCGCGTTGCGGTGATGCGCACAAACTAGTCTGGTTGACTCGACATACTGAAGCAATTTCATGATAAATCAATTAGGTCCTGGAATAAACGCCGCGCACATGAAGCTACTTGCATGCCTTCGCCGCGTCGCCGCCACATGAACCTGACAATCGACTGTTAGCCTCTCACCTATGATCAACTATGACACACCAAACAAAACCATCGACACTGCGGAATTCTTCCTGAACGTTGCGCAACCGCTCGCGTCACATCGCTGACAAATCTCACGATTCAGCCAGACAGACATTGTTGCCATTAAATTGCCTCTCTACGAGTTCAAATTTCTTCAAGACCTCAAAACTTAACGATAGCATCATAATCTAACTTTAAAATTTCCAGGTGTCATCAAGGAACCACCATCGTATCTCCCAGATGAAGAAAAGGAATTCAAAAGCGAATGTGGCGGTGCGACAAATCCTGGTCAATTGACGGGTACGTCACATTTTCGGGTACGGTTCGGGTCGGGAGGGGTAACTCACATTTCCGGTGGTTCCTTTCCTGCATGATAACTGATAGGAACCAC